TATATATATATATTAAGGCCATCAGGTCAGCAGGTAATATTTTAAGTAAACTTACCTGTAGATATCACCCCATAGTGTAAAAAATTCTTTACAAGTATATAACTTAAAACTCTTTTTGTTTTTTTCGTTTTCGTTTATGATAATTTCACAATAATAAGATATTGACACACCTACGTACAGTGTGTCTCAGTGTCTGTGAAGAGAGAGACTGTGTGTGCTGTGCACATATATATACGCACACGCCTAGAAAATATCATCAATTGCTGAATATTGATTTGCTATGGTGAAAGTTGTTTTTAATTGAGTTGTCAAGTATTTGAATGGTCGATTTGTCAACAGTTAACACAATCCCTTTGTAGATAAATCATGAATCTGCTACTCTTTTTTCTTAAAAAGTTAATTGTTTTGCTATTGTCTTATGTCTAATATAACAATCTTTGTTTTCAGAGAGTTTCTGTAAATGCTGAGGAGTTGCAGTTGCGCGCAGAAATTAAGCAGCTGCTAAAGGAGGCGAATGCCATGTCACAGTAAGTGATTCCAATTGTTCAAGTAACTAATCTTTATGTAGTCTTGAGTAGGATTCAACGTCTTCTATTGTAATTCATTTTGGAGTTCTCCACATGAGCATTGGCGTATCCAGTAGTATAGTTATGGGTTCAAATCTTCTAGCCTAGATCTGCAGTTATCTATGTAAAATCCATTGAAATTGTTGAAAATATATACACACACGCACACACACCATTTGACTGTGTGTGCTGTGCACATAATTATCCATGTTCTCCATGATTTCATAACTTATTACCCCACTTTCTTCCAATTTAATTTAAGGAAGAATTCCTACACCTATAAATAGGAGTCTTTCTTCCATATTGTGGTGTGAAAAATAATTGTAGAGTGTTTCAATAAAGTGAGGTTAAAGTTGTGAAAAAAGAAGAAGAGAGTTTTTACTTTTGTTGAAGGAAGGTGTTCATAGAGCTTTAGACTCAACAACTTGTCCAGAGTTTTGATAGAGTCATACGACGTGATTGGGCTGTTGTATCCTGGGAGAGACAAGTCAAGAGGATTACTACTGGACCAGTGAAGACTTTGCTGCAGTGGGTTTGAATCTCCTTAAAGAGAGCGAGATATCCGCGCCTCAGCCTGAAGATATTTTATTTTCAACTGTAATTGTATTTTCACCAACACACATGATATCAATAATTCCCCCATTATGGTAAAAGTTATGATGTCTTAACCAAAATTGTATTTCTAGTAGTTTGCTGATAATTCTGATAATAGTAGTTTTCCAACCAAAATACTAGTATTTCTTCTGTTCCTTTTGGGCCTTTATCTAAGAAAGTGAGAATTGCCATTTGTTGATAATTCACTTTGTAGATCATGCTATTTTTTTAACAGTATGTATGATTGTAAAACTTTATGCTGTATTCATATTGATTTCAGGCCTTCAACGTTTGCACAAGCTGCCAAACTAAGGAGGATGGCAGCAGCCAAGGAGCAGGAACTTGTAAAAAGTACGGCATATACTACCATGCTTAGAATAGATACTACTGTTTATTCATAATTCTTATAGACTTTATTTATAGGAATGTTGCTGCATATGTTCGCAGTGCCCCATCAAACTATAGTTGGACAAGTAAAATAGCATGCACAGAGAAACTGATGCTACTCGTAGTAGAAATCGCTACAGTAAGAAGTAGCAGTCAGAGTCCCAGATATTATATTTTGCCTGGTGTACTTAGGCTACCGTAGGATAGAAGAATGCTTGAAAGTACTCCTATCAATATTAGCTATGCAAGTACTAATTAGGCTTGTACCACCTTTTAAAGAATTTGGGTGGTGAAACAACTAGACAGATGTTTTCAAGAGCAAAACATCTCTCGTTTGAGGTTCAGTACTAAAGGAACAAGGTTTGACATGCTAACACTTTCTCCTTAACATTTCTTTCTCGTACTGACCCATCCCATCTTCTCAGCACATCACATTTAGCGTGCACACAACCCAGCAATTTACATCATAACTTTTCTGGCAAACTTGAGGCCGAGGGGTTATAATAGCTGTTATAGGCATCTCAGAGCAAATTATCAGTTCCATTAACAATGTATTCTACTCCATGAACAATTAGCTAGGAATGTTGAAGTACCAAATACACCTGCCTATTGTTAGGACTTAAAATTATTTGACCTATAAACCTATGTGGATTTAGTAAAGAATAGAAAATAATGGATGCATAAGAACGAAATAGGTGATATTAGCTGGTTTAGTCATGTTGGTGTACTAACATTTCATCCTTTTCTGCCGAAGGTGTTCTAGTTTGTTTTGGATTTGTATGCCAGTCAAAAAGTAAAGAGATCCCCTAGTGAAAAAACCGTTAATTTGTTGTTAAATCCAAATTATTGGGTACAAGAATCTAAATGGATATTGAGGATTCATATAACCTATCTTAACTAGTTTGCGATTGAGGTACGTTTGGTGTTCTTGTTTTTGTTTATTCTCAATTACTACATTTGGTGCCATACAGATCGTGAAAAACTCAGAAAAGTAATGAAATCGTCATATGATTCACACACAAAGACCCTGATGATCTTAAAGGTAATGCAAGCAATCTTTGGTAGTCAAGACTTTTACAACCTTTGTTTTAACTGTAAGATAATTAATTAGCTGCTGATCACACAGGTTTTAATGTACTTGTTGCTGATTATATGGTTTTGGCGTATCCCTGTGGCTTCCATACCTAAGCAGCTCGTGCAACCTTTTGGTAATGTGTTATCCTCTAGTATTCTTGGTTTCTCGACACCTGCATGTCGTTTTATCAACTTTACGAGTTTTGTCATATATGAGGTAATCTTGAAATTCATATTCACTAATCTGCTATGTTGTGCCTTTCAATTTGACAGGTGGACAAAATACACATTTAATTGCTTTCACCACCTTTGTTTGCATGTTTCAAACTGATCTTCTATAACCTTCCACGTTGCAGGTAAGATATTGTCTTGGCGAGCTGGAGGTCATGTGAATGAAAACGTCATGGTAACTGCCTTGAGGATTTAGCATTGATTGGAAATTTCTTTTTTCGGAGAACTGTGACTATATGAAGTAGTAACGAGCTTAAGTCTTGGGTGTGAGCCTTAGCATGTTTTACCAAGTTTCTAAAATCTGCTTATTTTGAAAAATATTTATGGGTATGTTTGGTACGAATAAAAATATTTTTCGAAAAATATTTTTTAATTTTTCCATATTTGATTGGTTTAAATATTTTGAAAAACATTCTCTTTATGAACTCATTTTCCTCCAAATGTTTTCCTTATCAAGAGATAGGAAAACATTTTTCAAAACTCCTTCTCAANTGGAAAATATTTTTCCTTCTCTTGATAAGGAAATCATTTTCCTCCGATGGGAGGAAAATGAGTTGATAAAGAAAATGTTTTCCAAAACATTTAAACCAACCAAACATGAAAAAATTGAAAAATGTTTTCTTCTTACCAAACACACCCTGAGAGTTCTGAAGATCTCAGTCTTTGTTAATTTTTCTTACTTTCTGTTGATTCATTTTGCAACTTGTATTTGATTGAATCTTGTCCTTTTGGGGGGTTTGATTAGTGTGCCAATATGATCTTAAGCCAGTATTCATTAATTACGCCACTTCCAAAGCTGCCTATCTTTCGTTTGAACAATGTTATGGCTAACTTGTGTAATGTAATTGCAGGTGGGAATCATTCCATGGTTAATATTGTCCACTAGAATAAGCAAACTTATCTGCCGGAAAATATTCAAGTAGGAGAGCAAAGTAATTTGAAGCGAAGAAACTACTGATATATATTTATTTGATTGCGATTAACATGCATTATTTATTTGTCTGGTGTTCATTAATCACCTATCGATTACTGTCTTATTTTTGAAAAGATTATTAGTGAGGAGTAAAACATAAAGTTTGTATGGTAGTGCCAACAGTGCCATTGCCACAGAAAGCATACGGCTGTTCACTCGATTGAATATTGTCTATTTAGGTTATATATTGTTAGCATTTCTGATTTTGTTTCACAAGGATGGGGAGGTCCACATTATACTGATAAACTCTGGTGGTTAATTAAGATCTTTTGACCTGATAAAGTTTATTAGTCTTCCATTTATGCTATTGTCATGGGATGCTTTGACTCTTTTCACAATAATAAATGGCAAAATTGGAGGATTCTCGAGGTTCAATAAATTTCAAAGTTTCGAAGGAAAATTTTGAATTGAATAGGATCTCGTAAAATACTCTCTGTTCACTTTTACTTGTCATTAATATTAAAAATAAATTTTTATTTTTATTTGTCACTTTATGCATATTAAGAGAAATAATTTTTTTCTCTATTATATCTACAGTATTTATTACTCATTTCAAATTATTTTCTCAAATTCAATAAAATATACATCAATTAATATGGGTATCATGGTAAATTATGCATTTCATTTATTATTTTTTAAGGGACGTAAAAAGTCAAAACGTGCCAAGTAAAAGTGAACGGAGAGAGTAGTATGAATAATCTCATTAACTCATTCAGCTTGTTCTTTTAAGTCACTTCTTTTTTCTTTCATTTTTTGTTCTTTGTGTGATGCTTATTTGGGTGAAAGAAGAAAGTGGCTACCCTCGTGGAATTCGATAACTCTTTTCTGGCTTATACTTGAATAACCTACTTAAGCAGAAATAAACTAATTTCTAACACTTTTTACATGCCATTTTTCCGAGTTCACTAGCTAATGAGAATTATTTGTAATAATAGTTTTTAAGTGATATAATTGTAAAATATATATTGTTTTTTTCTCAATGTATAGAATGTAAACTCATAAAAGTTGATAGAGTTGGACATGGTTTGATCAAGCTAGTCATATATATATTTTGGAGTTCTAATATTTTCACCTCTCCCTGTATTCTTATGGACAATTTCATCTGTTCTCCAATTTGGCATCTTTTAGCCAATAGCAAAGACTTTAAACCAAAATTTTAAATGAAATTATTTTAAATAATTAATACATCACTTTATGGATAATTTGTCCTCTAAAAGGGAAAATGCTGAAGAATTGATCACAGTTTGTGATATTCCTTTTGTCAAAAAGCTGTGCTGTAATATGGATAGCATCCATTACAGGAAGGTGAGTGCGAATTTTAAAAAGAAAGAAAATTGCTAAATAGGAAAGTAGTAAGCTTCTTGTCAAAAAGATAAAAATCAAAGTTTACTACCACTTGATTACAGAATTATCATTCAAGTCATTATTTAACTGACCGATCTTCTTAGGTCCCCCGTTAAAAAAATATTCCTCAAACTTATGCACCAAATTTTGGTTTGACTTCCAACTTTTGAATTGGAGTCAGAGGCTCCTACTCAAGTGATACCTCACAGAAAGTTAATGTAATGTGACATCCATCGACTTAAGAAGACTCATCATTCTCTTATGCCAGTTTAACAAGGACTTTGAAATTTGTCTGCACTTTGCAAACGCTAGACATATAGGGTTCGTTTGGTAGAATGTATTAAGGAAAGAATAATATATGTATTAGTTTAGTATTATTAGTTATTTGTTTGGTGCTAGTATTTTTCAATCTATGTATGCCTAATACATGTATTAGTTATACATCCTATTTAATTAGTATCATTCTTATACATAGCAAATTATGATATTAGCAATACCATGCATTTAATACATAGATAAACATGTATAAAGATATAACTGTCCTTTCAAAACCTTTTCCAAAGAGCATGGAGGTGTGTAAACAAACAATATCTTTTTTTTTTAAAAAAAAATAATGCAAATGCATGCTATTTTTAATACACCAAACCAAATAGTCGATAAGAAATAATTCCAGAATAAGTAATCCCGGCATTACTAATATACCTCATTCAATACTATTCTTATATACCCTAATAAACGACTCCTAGTGTTTAAGTTATGTCACGATCCCAAATCCACTAGTCGTGATGACACCTAACCCAACCCGCTAGGTAAGCCAACTAATAATTATCCAATTCCAATAATATTAACAAGACAATTAAACGAAAGCAATTTACTGAACTTTATATGTTTCCCAAGGACTCGTAGTACAAATCATGAGTTTCTAAGAATAGAGTTTACAAAGCGAAAATGAAATAAATACATAGTTTGCTTAAAAAGTACGTAAACAGAGTTTTATAGACCTAAAGCTACTACGAACAAGGGGCAGCTTTAACCGGAACGCAGGTACATCTTCAATCCAGCTACCATCGAACGCTGCAACATCAGCAGCCAACATCTGTACGCAAGGTGCAGAAGTGTAGTATGAGTACAACCGAACCCATGTACTCAGTAAGTAACAAACCTAACCTTAGGTTGAAAGCAGTGACGAGCTAATACAAGATCGGGTTCAATGCCAAGATTACACAACAGTTCAAAACATCATAGTACAAGTATATAAGAGGTATCTCAGAAGTAAGATACTCAAATCGTTCACAATTTCAGAGAAGTAGTCATGCTTTTCAAGTATCTCAGTGAAAACCCAAATCTTTTACCGAAAATGCCAAAATTATGAGTAAGTTTGAAAACTGTAATTTTTTCAAATATCCTTTCCACAACAAATAACATGTTTCATTTTCTTTCCAGCTAACAAGTATTAAATACCTCTCTATGCCCACATATCAATGTGTATAATGAGTCATGAATGACGTGATACCGTACATCATGAGGAAAGATGTATCTCTATGCTTGTATGTCATGTGTGCATGCCAATGCCATGTGTCTCATAGATGAATCATGTACTCACACTCTCGGAGTACTCAATCTCATTGTCTCATAGTTTTCACTCATCATGCTCAACCACTCGGTACTGTATATGGCCCATACGGCCCATGGAAGATCCATCCAGGAATATATACATCACTGACCATCCGTCACTCAATACCGAAGAAAGGCCAATCCGGCCCCATGGAGAAGATCCATCTTCAATATAAATGTTTCGGACAAGATCCATGTCTAGGGAAGATCCATCCCTCAATATAATCAACAACGCTCACTGAGGGTGTGTACAGACTCCGAAGGGGCTCCTACAGCCCAAGTGCTATCATAAGCCAGATCCAGGCATAAATCAATATAACATGCTGCGGCGTGCAGCCTGATCCCATAACTGTCACTCATAATCAGGCTCTCAGCCTCACTCAGTCATCAATCTCTTCAGTCTCACTCACGGGCTCACAATGTCATAAAACTAGCCCGATAACAATGATATGATGTATCAATAAACAACAACTGAGACTGAGATATGATATGAATGCATGAATATGACTGAGTAAGAAATATCATTGAAATGAGTGAGATAACAGCAAGAAACGACCATTATGGGTACAAACAATATCCGCATAAAGGCTAAACATGATAGTTAACATGATTGACAACTCAGTTACTTTATCACTTGGTGAAAACACAGATATTAGCAAAATAGGGCCACTATACAGTGCCATGGAAATAACTGAGTCATAATTTATAGGGTGCACGCCCACACACCCGTCACCTAGCATGTGCTTCACCTCAATACTAATCACATAACACGTATTCCGGGGTTTCATACCCGGAGTACTAAGTTTAGAAGAGTTACTTACCTCGAACGAGCCAATACCAATGCCGAGCAAATCAAGCGATGCTCCAAAGATGCCACCCTGCGCGTTCCGACCTCCGAACGGCTCGAAACTAACCAAAAATAATTCAAATACATCAAACAATGCTAAAGGAACCAATCCCAATCGTAAAAGTTCAATCTTAAATCACAACCCGAAATCGGCCAAAAAATTCCAACCCGGCCCTGCACATCAGAACCCGACAAAACTCGCAAAATCTGATCACCCATTCAATTACGAGTCCAACCATACTAATTTCACTCAATTCCGACTCCAAATCGATGTTCAAAACGCAAAAATTCATATTATAAAACTTTAGGCCAAAACCCCCAATTTCTCTTTAAAATTCATCAAGCAATTGCCAAAAATGAAGATAGATTCGTGAAATATAACCAAAGCCGAGTAGAGAACACTTACCCCAATCCTTGGGATGAAATTTGCTCAAGAAATCGCCTCAATCTGAGTCCCACATCTCAAAATATGAATAAAGACCCAAACCCTCGATTTTATATACCCTCTGCCCAGCACTTTTCGCATTTGCGGACAAATAGTCGCATATGTGACCACCGCTTTTGCGGTAAATGATTCGCTTCTGCGAAAATAGCTATGCTCAGCAACCCTCGCACCTACGGTCTTAAGCCGCTTCTGCGATCGCGCTTCTGCGCTCATGAACCGCATCTGTGGTTGCGCAGGTGCGTCCAAGCACCCGCACGTGCGATCCTCATGCCCAACTTCCTTCTCGCTTCTGCGACCCACTATCCACATATGCGCCTATTTTTTCGCAGATACGGAAACACCAGAACTAGCAGCCTTCAGCAATGCAACATGAATGAAAATGATCCGAACCTCGTCCGAAACTCACCCGAGCCACTCGGGACCCCGTCCAAATATATCGACAAGTCCCATAACATAACACAGACCTACTCGAGACCTCAGAACCCACATAACAACATCGAAACGACGAATCACGCCTCAAATCGAAATATATGAACTTTGAACTTTCAATTTCCAAAACTCGCGCCGAAACATATTAAATCATCCCGGAATGAACCCAAATTTTGCACATAATTCCCAAATGACATAACGAAGCTATTCCAATTCCCGGAACCACAATCCGAATCGGATATCCTCAAAGTCAATTTCCGGTCAAACTTATGAACTTTCCATACCTTCAAATTTTCATTTTTTGCTAACTTGTGCCGAAACCTTCTAGAAACATCCAAATGCAAATCCGGGCATACGCCCAAGTCCAAAATCACCATCTGGACCTAAAGAAACCATCAAAACTATGTTCTAGGGTCAAATTCACAAAAAGTTAAACTTGGTCAACTCTTTCAACTTAAAGTTTCAACAATGAAATTCATTCTTTCAAATCAACTCCAAATAACCTGAAAACCAAATAGACGATTCACATAAGTCATAATACATCATACGGAGCTACTCATGCCCGCAAACTACCGAGCAAAATGTAAATGCTCAAAACGACCGGTCGAGTCGTTACAAGCTATGACGAAATAAGTTACTCGATATCTGCACCAGTGAAAAGCAGAAATTATATGAGGTAATAGTAGAATTACATTTTCTTCTCATTGAAAAATATAATTTAAGTTTTAAAATTGTTAGTATTGGAGAAAAGTTTCATGATGGACTTGAATTTTTGTGTTTTCTATAGGATGAAGTATATGATACAACACCTCAAGTGTCATTTCAGAAAGTATTTTTATATTCTACTTGCATTATCAAACTTCTAATGAACTCATTCAAATTTTCAATTGACAGGTGAAAAACTCCCTTCTTGCAGTTCTCTTCTTCGTTTGCCTTTCTATTCTCTACCACTTCTGAATCTCGACAGTGAAAAAAGTATATGGAACAGAATTGATTGGAATTCTTTATAAATTACTTTGTAGCTTTTCAGCTTATCAAAAAAGTTGAAATTTTATTTCAAAATTTGGAAAAATGTTACTACCTTTTTTTCAGAAAACTTTGCATAACACACAAAGTTGTGCAAAATGTAAAATTTTTTTACAATAATAATAATAATAATAATAATAATAATAATAATAATAATAATAATAATAATAATAATAATAAAACCGTTCACCACTTTTCCAATCAAACGCCATGTTCACAATGGAATATTAAATTATTGTACTTTCAGTATCTGATTTGTGTCCAGAACTAGTAATAACAAATTTAAAGTCAATGCATATTTCTTTTTCTTTCTCTCCCTTCAAGACAGTCGTGGTGGTCCTTGGCTTTCTCTATGATATTGTACTAGTAATAAAATCATTCCAAGACATACTTGATAGATTCAGAATTTATTGTTTTCTATATAGCAATAATAATATTACATGACTTCATATATCAATTCTACTAGATACCAAATTAATTCTTTGACCCCAATAGTGTTCCCGTATACCGATAGACAAGTCATGGATTGTGAAATTCTGTTTTGACTTTGAAAACTTAGTTTTTCACAAGTAAAATTATATTTTATTAGTGCATTTTTGTTACATAACTCAAGCTCCTTTTAGAGCTCCTTTCCTCTTCTAACTATCATTCCAAAAAAAAATTGTTTTATTTTTTGCAAATTCTAAGCATGAGGAGTACTGTTAACCCGTAAAACGGTACAGTTAAATTTATACGTAGTTTCTATACAAGTAAATTAATTTGATCTTAAAATAATAAAATAATTAAATAAATACACAATACTTAGCCTTGAAATAATGATAAAATCACGAAGAACAATGATTTGGGAGCAGAGCTTCTGGGTACAACAGCGATGAAACCAAGGAACAAGAATGTAAAATTGCATAAAGCTTTTTATTGATTATAGTGTAAGTTTGCCAGAAAAATCGTGTCCTTTACAATGATAACAGAGATAACTATTTATAGTCGCACCTAGGGAACAAGGTCCTAGGATCATGCCCTTCTTTAATGTCAATTATGAGGGCCATTGAAAAAGGTGTAACGGTGAGCATAAATTCTCTGTAACAGGCAACGCACTAAATGCTGTGGAATATTCTACATTAAATGCTACCGGACGGAGGATATATATTGCATCTTTATGAGCGTTATTCTTTCCGGTGACAGACGGGACAATTGCCTTTGGTTTTAACTATCCCCCAACTTAGGTTCCTCGTATCCCTCTTTTGGACGACCACGTATAACATATTTTACCCTACATAGATAGTCCTCCCCTGCTTTCCGGTGACATAACTTTGTGTCACCGGAAAGTTGGTGGAAGCACTCTTTTTGGCGGGAATTACTATGACTCCTTATGAAAATCTTCTGGCGGTTGATTAGACACACGTCTCTCCGTATTTAATGTCCCAAACATGCGTCATCCCACGATTCAGCATAACTTTTGCCGGTTATCGAGGCAATCATGACCACGAATTTAGCCGCCTAAATCTTTACTTATACGCATCAACCTTTTTTATTCATACTCCATAACTCTTCAAGCTCTCTTTATTCGACTTGCATCCTATTCTTCAACCTTTCTTCAACTCTCTTCAAACAAAACAGTTTTTTCTCCTTCCATATAATGGCTTATTCAAAGAATACCAGTTCTTCAAAGAACAAGAACAAAGTCGAGGATTCAGCTCCTCCAACAGTGGGCACCATCATCCCCAGAAGTCTTGTTACAACAAAAAACTTCGAAGAGAAATTTTCTTCTGCTAGCTCTCGTACATGGGCCATTAGTAGGTATCCTTCTTCCATCCAACCTTCTAGCATTCCTGTTGTGAAGGAAGACTGTCGTGGCCAGGACCTAACCATTTTCGCTCCCAATCTGACTGAGAGGGTAACCCTACCCAAGGAGGGTTTTACATACTTTTACATGTATCCCTTTACTTTGGGTGCGTTTTCCTTGAGTGAAAAACTTGACTCCGTTATTGCAGCGTTCTGCCTCCGCTACCATGTGTGTTTGGCACAAGGTAGTCCTTCTGTGTGGAGGATGATTGCTTGCCTTTGGCATTTCTGCCAAGAGACGGGAGGGGAGCTATCCTTAGCTCATGTGATGAATCTCTATTCCCCCAAGATCTTCCGTGGGGAATATAAACGTCAGCAAACGTGGCAACCATGCTCTACTATCTAACATGGATGACGACAACGACTGTGGGTGGATGGAACGGTTCGTTGTTGTTGCCACCAATGGTATCATTCCGGCAACGGCTTCATCCTTTCCGGAATCATGGAACCGCACTCGTGAGCTCCTTGTTTAATACCCCTTTTACTAGAAATTCCTTTATATTTGTATTGATCCTCCACTTTTCGCCTGTTTCAGAAACTCGGTAGGTTCCACCTAAGATTGAAGGCTTGGCCTGGTGGGTCCAGAAAATCTTGGACGTGACTACGCCCGAGACCCGCACATGGAAAGAACTGGCCCTTAAATACGGGTGGAATGCCAAAAATCATGATAACTCAAACTTGTCTCGTTTTTGCTTTTCACGCTAGGAAATTGATCGACTCTTTCTCCATTTTTCCTGAAATCAGGTCTACCTGCGGGCTTGATTGTCGTCCCCGAGGAGGACGTTTTTGTTGATCCTGCTGACGCGACTAGGCTGCTTTAGGAGGCGCTTACTCGAACAGGTGTCTCCGAGCCTGCTTCGGGCACAAGTGTTTCTTCACAGAGTCCCCAGCCGTAGAACAAGCAACCAAAAAGAAGGCGTTCCTCTACGGCCGAAGGGCAAAATAAGAGGGCAAAGAATGATGCCCCCGAGTTGTCTCCGAAAGTCATGGTGACGAGCCCTCCGCCCGGGCTGACCATTGATACCGTGATGATTGACGATGATGGAGAAGCTAGCGAGGAAGGAGCTTCTCTACATAGAAGACGACGACCTTCCTCAACTCAACAGACCGCTCAATCCATTGAGTTTGTTACACCAGCTGAGGAAGACGTCTCGGCGCTCTAGGGGGAGTATGAAATGGTAGAAAATGACAACTCTCACTTCCGTGTCCCAGTCGTCGCACCCGATAATTTGGGGCTGTGTACCGGATCCCTTCCATCCTCGACTGACGAGTAACAAACAACCAGCACTGTGTTTGTTGTAGCTGCTTCTCACTCCTCAACTCCATCAGCTTCATCTCCATCTTCACCAACACCAGCAACTGCTACATCATTTCCACCTTTATCAACTCTTCCACCAGCAACTACATCTTTTCCAGCGGCCACATCTGCCCGAGAAGAAGGTGTCCTCCTCCCCTAGTCCCCAGTTCATGGGAATTTGGGGCAAAACTATGCTCCACCTCAGAAGATCGCAAAGGAGGAGGAGCGTTACTCTCCCGGTCTCCACCGGATGCAATTTGCTATCCCGGTCGATGGAACTTGCTAATTATCTGAAGCCAAAGGCTTCAGAGAAAGATTGAGAAAAGATACAGGCTCTCTCGGGAGAGTGCTTGTTGAACAATGCCATGCACAACGCCGAAGCGTTGAATTCCTTACTTCCTTTGTTATTCCTTTTGCTTTTGTCTGAAAATATCCTAAGTTTGCCTTTCTTGCTTTAGGGCCACTTTCTTGCTTCCGAGGGCGTCCAAAGGTTGATTCGAGAAAAAGAAGAAATTACCTCCGCACGGGATCAACTTTTGGTCGAGCGGGAGCAAATTGCCGCTCACCTCTCAGAATTGGAAGCCAAAGCTGCTGAGGCCGTTGTATTGGAGGCTCTTTTGCAGCAAAACGAGTAATAAGTGGTAACCCTTAGCTAAGAGATTGCCTGCTGAGGGTTAAATTTGACAAAGTCAGGACCAAATGGGCTGAAGTCCATAGTGCCGCTCTTGCTGCAACCGACCGCGAGGCTGCCTCCGCTAAAAGATTGACCAACTTAGAGGCAGCCTTGAACTCCAAAACTAAAGAGCTTGCTGTTGCGGGGGTGAAACATGCCCAGTTGGAAGAGAAGTATAGGAAAACTATTGAGCATAGTAGGCTCTGTAGTTCAATTGTCCGTGACCTTGATGTTAGCCTCAGATCTGTTAGATCCGCCCGGAAAAATCTTTATACCGAGGTAACCCAACTCAAAGAAGAACTTAAGCGCCGAGTGGCTTCCCTCATTGTTGAGAAAACTTACGTTATGTACAGCATGAGGAGAAAAACCTTGGAAGAGGCCAAAGCTGGTATCATTGACTTTGATGCCGAAATTGCTAAGGCCCGTGAGTATGAGTTGGCTTCTAAAAGTGGTCTCCCGGCAGAGCGTGATGCTACCGGTTTTGTACTTCGAGAACTGAGGAGGAAGCGGGAGGCAAAGATGTTGAAGGCCAAACTGGCGAGGGCCAAATGTTGAGCCATCGGCGGACCTACCCACTTCCCCTAGGGGCTGCAGACATTTTCAGTTTTCAGTTCATATAATCAGAGAAGCAATTCAATATCGAGCAGGCCTCTTCGATTCAGTCGTAAGCTTCAGCTCTTTTGAATCAAGACACAAAACTACAGCAGCTATCAACCAGAATAACCACAAAGTGCAGACAATGTGCAGCTGAACAGTGCAGAATTTGCTTTCAAAAGACTGCTCAAAACTTGAATTTCAGTAGTGTATTGTTGGCATATAAACTGAAGCAATGCAGTTGAGTTAACTGAAGCTAAAACTTGTGCAAAATTCCCTCAACTGTTCAGAAAAACTGCAGTAACATCAATCCACAAAAGAAATGCAGAAACCTTCACTGTTGAGCAGAAGCTAAACAATACAGGACTGCAGGCAGCAAGCACGAAATCCTTTACAGCAACAGGAAACTAGCAGCAAATTATTGCCAGCAAACCTTCAACTTTTATCAGGAGATTCTAACAACTGGACAATAGCTTATGTAACAAGAGCACTCAATTCAACAAGGAGAACATTTCAGAGGTAAAAGCCAGATTGCAGCTATCACTGCTGAACTCAAGCACAATTTCAACTAACACAAATTTTCGGCAGATTTAGCTTACTATATGCTCAACCAAATCACAATTCAAGCTGCTCAATCTCTAGTCCAACTGAATCCCCTCTATTAAACTCAATGACAACAACAACTATTAGAAACCGGTGGTAACAAGTTCAAACTAGGAGAATTTCAGCTATCAATTTACTCCAAAAACTTCTCCACAAATAGTGGCAAACTTCAACAAAACAAGCTTCAGAACTTCGAAGTCTTAGCACAAAGATAACTGGTGTACAATGCAGGATTTACTTTCAAACATTGCTCCACAGATAGCTCATAGATTGAATTAAAATCACAAAACAATGCTCCTACAATCAAGGACTGATCCCAACAGAACTTTCATCAGCATACAAGAAGTTTGACAAGAGAATTTCAACTTGAACTCTAAATATTTCAACAGTAGAGTCCAATGACACAACTCAGTTCATACAATTTCCAACAAGCAACTCAATTCAAACCATCGATTCACTGATTCACTACAAGCAGTTCTGATTTTCTATCCCGAATTCGACCCTCAACAAACAATTATCAGAAGAATGTAGAGACAGAGTTTCAGTTTAAACTCAAGGAACTAATCTCCGTCCTTTCAAATGAATTCTCCATTCAGTTCGACAAAGAATCACACACACATGTTCGAACAAACTCAAGACTGAGCCCACTCGAAACAATAACAAAATTCCAGAATTATAGAGATTGAATTTTTCAGTTTAAATTCAGATAATTCAACTCAAATTGCCAGAAATCAGAGATGAAGCTCAGTTCTAATCTCAAAGAATCAAACCTGATTCGTTGCGACGATTTGTCAGCTGCTCGAGTCGAGTCGAGTCGAATCAGTCCGCGAAGTTCTTCAATTGAAACTAGTGCTCTTCGACTTCGACCTTCAATATCAGCTGCTCAAATGTTCATCAAATGGACTCACACTTTGAATTCAATTTTCAAAAGCATAAGAATCACACCCAGAAATCGATTTGAAGATATCACCCCCAAATTCAAAGAATTCAGTTCTTTTTCTCCACAGAATCAGCTCGAAAATTTTCCAATAAAATCACGTTCAAATCGTCTCTAAACCATCTCACTACAAAACCCCAGTGATTATTTTGAACAAACAGCAGCAAAAACAGAAGATCTAAGTGTCGTCTTCTTCTCCGCGCAATTAGTTCAATATTCGAACTTAAAACCCTAGCAAATCAGTTTCAAATTGATCCCACACTTCAGATTGAGCTTCACAATGATGCAACTAAAATCTCGAACACCCAGCCAACTTCGAACCCTAATTTTCAGATTTCAAATGACCAGCTTCTTCGAGGAACTCGGCAAGGACGGGTTTCAAATTTGTGACTTGGAATTCCTCAAACTCAGTCCAGATTCAAAAATAATTATCAAAACCCTCCTTTTCAATCCAAAACCGCTGCTCTATACCAAGATGATATGGACTATGAATGAAAATACAAATATAGCAAAATATGCGGAATAAAAAATAAGAGTTAGACCTACAATTTATTGAAAGAATAAGAACCAATTAGGATATAAAATCTAATTATTTTTACGAACTCAATCAATTGTAACCATAAGCTATCAAAATAAGAGGTAGGCCTACAATTGATTGGAAGAACAACAACCAATTAGGATACAAAGACCAATTAGCTCTATGAACTCAATCAATTGTAACCCTAAACTATGAAAATGCTCATAGATTGTCAACTCTTGAAAACTCGGATAAAATAATTAAGCATTCACTATTAATTACTCACCAACTAAGACTAATTTAGTATTAATGAAAACATAAATAAAGCAATAAAGGAATTAAAGGCATAAACATAAATGCATTAATTAAGAGATAAGGATAGAGCGTAAGACTTGCATGTCTTCAAGTTTATTATTTATCAAGTCTATCTAAAATAAAAGCCCTAAGGGCTATTTATACAATAGTGGGTATTTGAATACAAATGACCCAAATACCCTAAGCTAATTCTAAAGAGTTAAGTGTAATTATTACAAGTATAGCCTTTCTTGATCTTGACTCCTTTAAAACACTCCAATGCTATGATGTTTACTTGGAAATCGTTAGGCATACTCATCTGGCGTGTATCATGCTTAAGGTGATCACCTACATTCAAAGACTTAACGAGCATATCGTCTATATAAACTTCCATAGTTTTCTCTATTTGTTTTTCAAACATCCTATTTACGAGCTTCTGATAAGTGGCTCCAGCGTTCTATAACCCGAAGGGCATCACATTATAGCAATAATATGCCAAAATTCGTTATAAATAAAGTCTTTTCCTGATCTTGCGGGTTCACCTTAATTTGGTTGTACCCAGAATAAGCATCGAGGAAACTCATTAACTCGTGCCCGGTCATAGCATCAATCATTTGATCGATGTTTGGCAGAGGAAACGAGTCTTTCAGGTACGCCTTATTCAAGTCTTTATAATCTACACACATGTAAAAAAATTAGTATTCTTAGGAACTACTACTACATTAGCTAGCTAGTCTGGATACTTTACCTCTCGGATCGAACCGATATCGAGTAAGAGAGTTACCTCTTCTTTGACGAATTTGTTCCTGGCCTCCACAATAGGGCGTTTCTTTTGTCTTACTGGGGGGATGTTGGGATCCAGGCTTAGCTTGTATATGGCCACTTCCGTTGGGATACCTGTCATGTCCGCATGCGACCAAGCAAAACAATCGGCATTAAATTTAAGAAATTCAATAAAGCCAGATCTGAGCTCGGAGTGTAGTTTTGTCCCTAAGTGGAATTTCCTTTCTAAGAACTCTTCAAACAATGCAACTTGCTCGAGCTCTTCCATGGATTTTGTTACATCTGTCTTTCCTGGTGCCTGAAAATACCTTGGCACCTGATAAGATTCTGACGCCTCTACCTCCGGGCTACCTTCATTCGGTTTGGGAGCAGGCGTCGGTTCCTGTAGTTGCTATGCCGCGTGTTCCTTCCCTTTGCTACTGGAGATCGAAATCGCATTCATCTCCCTCACCGCCGGTTGGTATCCCCTTATCTGTTTAATTCCTTCGGGCATTGGGAATTTCAGCAGTTGATGATATGTTGATGGTACATTTCTCATCTAGTGCAACCATGGTCTTTCCATAATAATATTATATCCCATGTCACCATCCACCACTTCAAAAAGAGTCGTTTTCATCACCTTTTCAGCGATCGTGGGCAACAAAATCTCTCCTCGAGTTGTCACGCTCACAAGGTTGAATCCGGCGAGAAGTTTTGTGGTCAGAATGATGCTTCCGGTGAGTTTAGCTTGCTCCAATACTCTCCATTGTATGATATTGTCCGAACTTCCTAGATCCACTAAAACACGTTTAATTTTAAAGTTTAGCACATTTAAAGAAATTACCAATGCATCGTTGTGCGGTAGCAACAATCCGTCTGCATCTTCTTCCGTGAAAGTGATGTCATTTTCAGCGACTTCCCGAAGTCTCTTGCTATGGGTTATCGATACTTTCATCTTTTTTGCTGCTGAGAAGGTGACCCCGTTGATTTCATTCCCACCGAAGATCATGTTGATCGTCTGGCGCGGAGGATCTTCTCCTGCTTTCGAAGGTTTCGCGTTATCCCGGTTGCGACCATAGTTGTTCTTGGCCAGATCACTTAAGAATTTTCAAAGGTGCCCATTTTTCAACAGTGTCGCCACTTTTTCCCGGGGATGTTGGCAGTCCCTAGTCCGGTGGCCATTCATCCCGTGGTATTCACACCACAAGTTGGGATCCCTCTGACTGGGATCAGATCTTATCGGGTTAGGAAATCGTGCTTCTTTGATGGTTCTCATGGCTGACACCAACTCTACTACACTGACGTTGAAATTGTATTATGACAGCCTGGGGTAGAAAGGGTCACCTTCATCCCTCAGGGTGCTGTTGTCGACCCTCTGCGTTGTTTGATTTGTGGGAAGGGCCGGGAGGAACCAGATCTCGTCTATTCGCATTATTTGAAGCCTCCGGCAGCGCCTGCTTCAAATCCGTCATAACCTTATCCTGCCGCGTGAGGTGGCCTAGGATGATCGTTTGTTGTTCTTGTAAGACTCTTACCGCATCAACAACATGCTCCTCTTCAGCATCGAGAGTTGCCCCCCAAACATGTCGTGGGTACCCATGTCATGGACCGGCTTGGCATCGTTTCCCTCATTGTGGGTGTCACTGACTGAATCCTCGAGATGAGGCTGGTCTCCTTGAACCTCATGATTGTGTGTGTTGTTAACACCATTATCTGCTATTTCTTATGATTTCTTGCTAAGGTAAATAGCCAAAACACGTTAGTAAAGAAGGCAAGGATCAACTTAATTACACGACTGTTGTAAATGCCTGATTTTTGCTTTTCTTTTTCTTCCACATTATAATTTTAGGATTGTTATGTGTGTATTTGTAGATTTTGAATTAGACTTTAGTTTAATTAATTAATGTGAGGTTCAAGGGATTGGGTTTCTTTATTTTTCATCCAAATTGGGCAGAAATTTGAGGCAAAGCAACAGCCCAAATCATGTGAACCCAGTCCAAGATGATTCTAAGATCAAACATCATAGTTTTATGTTGAAACTAAGTCGTTTCATTTGGTAATCTGAAGACTTAATCTCATCCATCCATGGTATTTGATCCAACGGCTCTCATTTGTTCAACTTTGAGGTATAAAAGCCTCTTAAAATTAGATTTTTGTCATTTCTCTAAGAACCCAAACCCTAGAGACCCCTGTCACGATCCAAATTCCTGCCACAGGCGTCGTGATAGCACTTAGTCTCTAAGACTAGGTAAGCCGAATTTATAACAACTCAAGCCATTATTTTTTTAAAATAAGAAACTAACAGCGAAAATAATTACAAATATAACAACCTCCCAAGACTGGTAGTACTGAGTCACGAACTCTAACTGAATATATGAAATGATCTCAAGGATCGAATCTCAATACTGTTTGAATAATAAATAACAGTACAATAATATGGAAAGACTCCAAGAAACTGCGATGACCAAGTAACTCTACCTTGAATCCTTGCGATCCCACTCTAACTCTATTCAAATCTGATATCCTCAATACCTGGCTCTGCACAAAAATATACAGAAGTGTAGTATGAGTACACCACGGTCGGTACCCAGTAAATATCAAGACTAACCTCAGTGGAGTAGAGACGAGGTACAATCAAGACGCTCACTAGTCTAATAACCTGTGCAATAGAGTATAAAAAATAATAGAAAACCAATAACAATAATGGCAACATAAATCAATCAGTGATATGCACAGCAGGGCAACAAGAACACCATTAATATTGCTCCACAAATAGTAAATACAAGTACACCCAATTAATTGGTACCCATACAAGTACACCATTAACTTGCAAAGCATGATGATTCAAACATAATTTTCTCAAATAGGTAACTTTCAAATATAATTCTTTCAATAAATCTCTTCCAAATATAATTTCCTCCATAAATATTTTTCACATACAATTCCTTCAAATACTACTTTTTGAATAAAATCCTTCCAAATAAATATTTTGATTATAATTCTTTCAATTAAAGGTCACCATGTGACACCTCATTTCATAATCGTAAAAATTCGGGTCTCAGCCCTTTTCATATTTTCACGACACTTCGTACCCATAATTAAATCATCATATTTCTCCGGTACCTCGTGTCCATATTTCATATCATATCTGCACGGACAATTCACATGCCAATAATAAAACCATCATATTTTTTCCGGCACTTCTTGCCCACATTTCATATTTCAACTGCACGGACAATTCACGTGCAAATATCATCATTATTTACTCACGACACATCGTGCCCACATTTCTTTTCATGATCCGCCTGGCAATAGCCACAAGCTCCTAATTTCAACATAAATCAGATTATTATCAATTTACCAACAACAATACAAATTGTAGCCACTCCACATCATCACATATCATCCCTGACAATAGCCACCTTTATCTCTCCTATAGCCACCCTTATCACTCCTATAATAGCCTCCATCATCCCTCCGCCCTGACAATATCAATAGCAACTCTTATCGCTCCTATAGCCACCCTTATCTCTCCTATAACCACCCTTATCTCTCCTGTAGCCACCCTTATCGTTGCGTCCAGATAATATCCCAACACACATAACAATAATGAAATGCCTCCCTTATGCCCACATAATATCAACAGTGAAATGCCTCCCTTATGCCCACATAATATCAACAGTGAAATGCCATCCTTATGTCCTCAAAATAATAACTCAATTAACATAACAATTTACACGGAATATTATCACGGCAACGTAAGAAAATCAATTCATATCACTATTTGCCCAATGGCCATAATCAATTCCAAGGATATAATAAAATCAATTAATTTCACAACAAATAGACCAAGGCTCCACACAATGTATATAAAACCTCAAAATCAATCAACAGAGATAGAAAATAGTCAGCATAGAGCAATACCTTCATTAATCCAAATTTAGCTAATTATATTAACACTTTTTCTTAAGCTTACTTAATTAATTATTTGAGACGGAAAATTCATAATGAAATAAAATTTCAAGAAATATCAAATCATCAAATTCACGAAATTCACATAATTATACAAGTAATAATCACCTCAAATTGTCATATAAAAACAAATTCAACGAACGCGAATTGAGGCATGGCAAGTAGATAATTTTATAAATGCCAACAATTATCCAATTTACTATATAATATGCCCAAGACTTTAACTCAATATATTTTGCACATATAAGCCCGAGTATGTACTCGTCACCTCGCGTACAAGACTTTTCACATTTCACAGATGGCACATAAGACTCGATGCCTAAGGGGTAATTTCCCCACTCGAGGTTAGGCAAGACACTTACCTTTTTGAAGTTAGGCCGAAATTCCAAAATTGCCTTCTTGCTTGAATTGACCTCCGGACAACTCAAATCTAACCAAATTAATTATATAACTTCATTAAGATTTATCGGAAATAATTTCGGATAATAAAATGTCTACTTAGAAATTTATCATAAAAAGTCAACAAAAGTCAACACGGGACCCGCCTCTTGGAATCCGGCATAATTTTTATGAAATCCGATTACCCATTCCGATACGAGTTCAACATACTAAAATTATCAAATTCCGATGTCAAATGGACCTTCAAGTCTTAAATTTTCGTTTTTAAAAAATTTTACAAAAATTCGAATGTTTTCCATCTAAATCCGAAATAAATGATGAATATAGACATGGATTTATGAAATATAATCACTCTTGGTTATAGAACACTTACCCAATGAATTTCTTGAAAAATTCATGAAAAATTGTCACAAACTGAGCTCCCAAGGTCCAAAAATGAAATAATAACCTAAGCCTCGGTTATATAGTACATTCTCTGAACTCACCATGTGGGGTCCGTACAATTCCAAGTGCGGCCGCACATCCCAGCTCCTACGGTCGCACTAAAATTGTGCGGCCGCACTCTCTTGGTGACTGAACTACCAGGCTTTAGTATTTTGGACATAACTTTCTCTACATATGTCCAAATGATGACTTATTTATCAACATGTATTCTGTGTATTCTGTGTTGCCTTAGTTGTTAAGTTCTATTTTTATGTTTATTATTTGTAGTTTTGTCTATGTTTAAGCTAATTAGTTTAAGGCCTTAACTACATATTTTGTTTGTTTGTAGTCATTAGGTTTTTTTGTTAGTTTAATGGTTCAAGTCAAGTTATTTGATTTTGCACCTTCTAGTTTGAAGCAATAGTTTAGTTTGATATTGGTTTGTGAGGGTAGTAGAATACTTGAGTATAGCGTCCGTGTTTGGTTTGCTTTATACTGTTTGGGGACTGTTTTGGAGTTACAATACTCCAAAGTACCATCCACGTTTGATAGGAATACTATTCTTTGGACATATTTTTTACCAAAAGAATTATCCTTTGAATAGTATTGGACGGATTTTCGGTGAAAAATATATCCTTTGAATAGGATTGGACTGATTTTCAATGACAAAAGGTGTTGCTTCCTCTCCTATAAAAGGTTTGTCTTTCCTCATTTTAAAGGGACACTATCTTACACATATTCAGATCATATTTTACACACTCTATCACAAAAAGAACTCATCTTCTACACATTGAAAAAAGAACCAAAACTTGAGAGCAAAATTAACAGCTGAACATCTAATAGTAAGCTGAAACTTGAGAGTTTTGGAGTGAGTTTTCTCAGAGAAAAGAACACTTTAAAAAACAAAAGTCCGTAAAGCTAGTTTCTGCTTCTTCTTTCACTAAAAGTTGCTGAGTTTTAAGGTTTGTTCAGGGTTGTTCTGGGTTCATTTCACTACTATTCCCGCTACTGTTCGTACTGTTTCTGTTGCTGAATTTCCGGTACTATCATTTTCGTATTTTTACTTATCTAGTAACCTTCCAAACACTTGTAATGCAGGTTCTTTTCTATGGTAGAATATGATAAAAGATGGGCCTGTTTTAGCTTATTTCGAGCAATTGTCATCCAAAGAATTTGCTGAATATTTGAGTGCCAAAATCTGCATGTTATGATCGTTTTAGTGTTGTAGTCGAATAGTTAGTTTATTTTGTAGTTGGCAGATTCGAGTATGTATATTTTTGGTGTTACTTTGGACTACTTAGATCATAGTGCATAGCTTAAGAACGAGTGAGGTAAGAATGTTTTAGTGTTGAAAAAAATGCTCTAGCGTTAGAAAATTTAATTACTAATGTTGTCAAATTCTTTGTTTGTGCTAAACTTCATATGATAAAGTAATTTAGTGCACAACTTAAAGATATTTGTTTAGAGATTTAAGGATTTGAAGTTAGAAAAATCAATTGGAACCGAGTCTAAAGTAGTAGTGGTTATTTCTGCAAGGTTTGGTCTATCACGAAATGGGTTTGTTTTAGCCATTAATAACTGATTTCTTGCAAGTGGTTAGGTCTGTAAATTGTGACACATTAATCTGCATCCTTTATTATAATTAGAAGTGGCTAGACTTGCAATGTAGGTCTAGGTAGGTTGCCCATTGTATATTGGGCTTTACTGGCCCATTTTCATTTAATAACACCAGGCCCATCACTTTTAAATAATCACAGCCGGCCCATTTTCCTTTAAACAACAAAGCTACCTTTTTGTTAATAGCTAATTGGGCCAAATGAATCCATTTCAGCTGGACCATTTTGTATGCTAAATTGCAGCAGTCCAATACCAATAAAACTCAAGAGTTTGTCCATTTTCTTTAAGTAACAAAACTGGCATATTTTCTTCAATAAATTAATAAGTGGTCCAGTACCATATAGGTGTGTTTAAAATCGAACCGAAATCGAAAATCGAACCGCAAAAATAGCTTAATGGCTTATTGGTATCGGGTTAACGGTATAACGGATGGGGAACAGATTGAATTTTTTTTATTAACCGCTTATCGATTTGGGGACGGATTATTCAATTTTCTTAACGGATAATTTGTTAACCCGTTAAGAATATATATGTAATATGTATATTAAATAAGTAATAAAAATCCCTTTCTTATCGTGGGCCGTGGCATTATACAAGCAAAAGTGTTAAAACTTAAAAGTGTTTCTTTATAGTAGTCCAGTACCCTTCTTTACCAATACTCTATTAGGCATTTAGATTTGAGATATTAGAAAATAGGAACCCTAACGTCTAAAAGTATTAATTTCAGTAATACACCCAGCAGCCAGAGTAGCAGACTCACCGTCTCCCTCTCGCTAACTCGCCTCTCCATCTCGCCTCTCCCTCTCGCCAACTCGTCGTCTCGCCTCTCCCTCTTGCTATAGCCAGAGCCCAGAGCAGCAGATGGTAAGTTTTTTTTCTTGTTGAAATTCCAACTGTTGCCTTCTCTGCCTTGTGCTATTTTGAGATCGATTTTGATAGTTTCTGTTTAAATATTCGTTAAGAAAATTGTTATTGTTATTTTTATTCCTTTTCTTTTCTTGTTGTAGTGACTCATAGCATGGCTGAAAATATACAAAGTGATATGATGATAGGTGGAAGTGGGGCTTCTAATTCAAATACAATAAGCAAATCTGAAACAACGGAGTCAAATATAACCAAAAAAGGAAAAAAAGGGTCTATTTTGTGGGATCATTTTACATAAATTATTACTTCCGAAGGGAGTACAAAAACAAAATGTGATTATTGCTTTATTGAGTATTTTTTAAGACCAAAGACGATACGTCGACACTTCTTTCTCATATGTTCAAATGTCCTAAACGCCCTGCTATTGTTGATAAAAAACAATCAAATTTAGGTTTTCAATCTGTTCCGGGGGGTAGTCAGGGTGACTTAGTTGTTGTTACTTGGAAATTTGATCAAGAAGAGTGTAGGAAGGCGTTATGTCGTATTGTAATAGTTGATGAGCTTCCTTTCAGCTTTGTTGAGAAAGAAGGTTTTAGAGACTTTATGAAAGCGGCGCAACTTTATTTTCTGATCCTTCCCGTAGTACTATAACTAGGGATTGTTTTGATCCTTTTAATGAAGAAAAGCAAAATTTTGAAGAGGTCTTTTATAGAAACGAAACAAAGAGTATGTATTACCACTAATACCTGGACTTCTATACAAAGAATCAATTATATGTGTATCACTACCCATTGGATTGATAGTGAATGAAATATGCATAAAAGAATAATTAATATTTGTCATATTGTTAGTCATAAAGGCGAAGATATGGCAAATGGTATTGGTAGGTGCTTACGTGAGTGGGGGATAAATAAGATCTTCATTGTCACAGTTGATAATGGAAGCTCAAATGATGTGACAGTAAAAGAATTATCTAAGCAATTAACAAAAAATGGGAACTAATTTGATGAACGACAATCACCTTCACGTGAGATGTATGGCTCATATCATGAATCTTGTGGTCCAGGATGATTTAAAAGAATCTTCAGTGTCTATTGAACATGTTAGGCATGCAGTGAGATATGTTAGGCAGTCTCCTGCGAGGTTGAAAAGGTTTCAAGAATGTTTTGATGATGAACAACTCAATTGTAAAAAAAACTTTATGCTTGGATGTTCCAACTAGGTGGAATTCCACCTACTTGATGTTGCGCAAGGCTGTTGAATTTGAAAGTGTATTTTCACATTATGCATCTAGTGAAATTGGCGTAAGACATTATCTTGAGCATTCTTATATTGAAGTTGAAATTCCTACAGGTGAACTTTTGAGTGGTGATTGGGAGAATGTAAAAAGAATTACAAAGTTTCTTGAAATCTTCTATATTCTTACTTTGAAAATATCTGGATCACGTTATGTTACATCAAATATTTATTTTCTTGAAATTTGTGTGGTTGCTGTTTATTTGAAGCAATTGATAGCAAATGAAGATACAGTTTTAAGTGAAATGGCAAAGAAGATGAAGGAAAAGTTTAATAAGTATTGAGGTGATCCAGGGAAAATGAACAAGATAATTTTCATCTTATGTATTTTGGATCCACGTTACAAGCTCGAATCAGTGGGTTATGCACTTGTAAAGATGTTTGGTGAAGATCTGGGGGCAACTATACAAGCAGAAGTGAAGAAGTACATGACTTCATTATTTAGTGAGTATGTAAAGTCTAGCTCAAAAGGTGTCGTGCTTGCTTCATCTTCAGATTGTTCTTCATTGGATACTTCTACTTCCGGGCTTTCTGACAGTCAAGTAAGCACCCAAAATACAGGACTTTTAGAATCACTATTGCAAGATATAAAAAAATATAAAAGTGAGAGTGGAGGTGTAGATACTAAAACAGAGTTAGATAAATATTTTGGTGAAGAAACTGAGGATGACACTAAAGAATTTGATGTTCTTCTCTGGTGGAAATTAAACTCAACTAGATTTCCTGTTCTTGCGGAGATGGCTCATGATGTATTAGCGGTTCCGGTTTCAAGTGTGGCATCCGAATGTGCGTTTAGTATGGGAGGACGTCTTCTTGATTCATTTAGGAGTTTATTAACTCCTAAATTGGTGCAAGTTCTAGTGTGTCTTCAAGATTGGCTTCGAAATAAAAAATTAAAATAACCTGTTAGTGTTGAGGAAGATATTGATAAAATCGAGCAGCTTGAACAAGGTAATAATATTTTTACTATATTTGTTGTATATAAGTGTTGTGGATATGCTTATATTTATCACACGACTCATTATTTTAATTTGTTTTTTCAGATTTAGCCAGCGATGGAAAAGACCCTTCCGTAATTGACGTGTAGTGTTAATATATCTGGTAAGAATTCGAATTGTAATACAATGTTAATAAATATGTTAATATATTAACAACAAACATGAATTTTTAGATCAACAATTTATATAATTCTACTAATTAGCTCAAATTTTAAGGTGGATCTGCAAACTCATTGATCTCATTTTGTAAAGTCTTGTGCCCTCAAGCTGTCATATTTCAAGCCTGCTACCATCTGAGTTATATAGTGCTAGGCTGTTGGATGTTAGAAGTTTGTTATTTCTTGAATGCTATTAATAATGTAAATGGTTCTACCATTGCAGAGTGATTCCAAAAACTCTTAGGTTGCTGTTTGAACTTTGAAGCTGCAGAAATTGAAGCACTGTTAGGCGTTAACTGCAGCAGTTGTATTTTGTGGATGTCTCCAATTGTTATAGATTTTATGTCTAAATTTTTATTTTATCTCTAGTTGTATTCTGGACTCATTTTGACAGGTGTAATTGCCATGTTAGGAAGTATTAAGTGTTAATAGAATCTCCATTCATCATTATTATAAAACAATTAAGATTTTAAGTAGTTACTATATATGGATAGTAAATTGGTGATTAATAAGCATGGGTAAATATATGTATAAAGTTTTGTACTCTTTGTTATTTCTGTGTATGGATTAATCACGTACTAGCAAATAGTGATTTAAGCATGTGTAAATTAAATATCTTTACAACTTTGCCTTTAGATCTTTTTTATCTAGATCTTTACATATTAAATTAGTGTTGATGTGATCTTTATGAAAATGGTATGTGCGTCATATGCAATTGCATCCATTGCTCCAATATTTGTAGTCTAAACTGAAAGCAGCGTCAGTGGGCACTAGCAGATTTCTCTAGTGTTTAAAGGTGTCAATTTTGGTGTAACAACTAATAGGCTGTAACATGAAGGACCAAAAAAGTCCTCTGTAATACAGATTGAACTAGGCCGATAATAGCTAAACCGATATCAATCCGCCCGATATCTTATCGGTTGGCTAGCGGATTAATATATTTAAAAGCTGATAACCGATAAGCCGAACCGTTAAGAGTAAATAATCATCTGATCCGCCCGATAAGCAACCCTAGTACCATGGGATTTAAATAAGCATAAGCCTAGCAAGTTTAATGCTAGTATATGTTAATTAAATAAAGTAGTAATATATCCTCTCTTCTTGCATATTCAAATTACCTTTTATTAAATTAATCTAAGCGATAGGCAGTTTTAGGCACGTTCCAAATGTAGGCCATGTGTTACATACACGATCTTTGGTCAACATTTAATAATAAAATGGTCGCGTGTGCATTCTCGCTCCTTGACCTTGGATTAATAAATTACGCTCTTCAGTAATTAATTTTATTTAAACCATGTGTACTGTCACGTTCCTTGGTTTAGTACATGTGATTAAATAAGGACCTTGTGTGCTTGCACTCTCCTAGACCAAAATTATTAATTCTTAAGTGACAATAGATGATAGTAATTTAAGGTATAAATCATAGTTTGTCCAAAATTAATTCAAGCCAAGTTTAAGACAATAAAGCGACCGTGCTAGAATCACGGGATTTGGGGAGTGCCTCATACCTTCTCCCCGGTCAACAGAATTCCTTACCTGCTCTCCTATTTTTGCGGATCAATAAAAATAGAGTCAAACCTTCCTTTGACTAGGGATTCAAATAAAAGGTGACTTGGAACATCGAAAATCAATTCCAAGTGGAGACTCTGAACAATAAAATAATCCCTACTCAAGTTTGTCACTTTAATTGGAAAAACTCTTTAACCCACAATCCATAACATATATTTATTTTTGGGGTAAAAAGGGGTGTGACAGCTTTGGCAACTCTGCTAGGGAATATAGAATTCGAGCTTGTACATTGACTTTATTTGGCTTTATTAATTTTGCATATACGGTGATTTATTTGGGCCTAATATGCTACTTGCATGTTATTTACCACTTTGATATTGTTGAACTGTATTATAAATTGTCTTCTTGCGCACCCCTCTGAGGCTTCTAAATACAACCCCAGGAATCGAGGATACACGTCTCGTTCTTTTTGAGATAAAGCCGGTGGGCCTGGGCTCCCGGGGAAGGATTTAGTCACTTATATTTAAGAACGGGGAGGGTCCAGTAGTTAAACCGGAGAAGTATTACTCCCGGTACGCTACCCCTTCCCAACTCGAGTTGTCTGCTCGTTTTATGGCCAGTCTAGATACACCTCATCCCCTAGGATTTTTAAAACCTAGAAGAATAAGTCACATGCCTGGTTATCCCTAGTACGATCATTTTGTTGAATCATGTGCATTTGACTTAGCGAAGCTCGACACATGGGTCGGGTCCATATAACACAGGTATCCTTTTTGAGACCATCATGTTCACTTATGTGCTACTTGCTGTATCATTTGGAAGGATTACTTACATTGTTGACTGGCTTTAGAAATTTAGTTGAGCGGAATTGAAAAAAAAAATCAATTCCCTAGTTTTGTACAAATAATTTATTTTTACTATAAAAAAAGAACTAATCCGTTATGAGGTGTCCAAAAAATGGTCAAAATCTATCAAGTCTTGGTTCGAACTACGCAAGTTTGATTCTCACCGGATGTGAGATAGGTAGGCAACCTTTATCGGGTCCAGCCCCCAATTTTCAAAAATTCAAAAATATTTTTCTTTAATTTTTTATGCATTAAATCTAGAAATTTTTTTAAATTTTTTTTTTTAAAAAATAAAATAAACTGAGTTGCAAAATATTTTCATTCTTCTTCTAAAGTTTTTCTTTCGAAAATTAAAAAGAAAACTCAGAATCCAAAGATTTGTTTTTTATTCAACGGCAAAAATTCAAAACCCCACAAATATTTTCTTTCTTCTTTGGAAGTCTTTCTTTCAAAAAAGCAAAAAAAAAAAAAAAATTTCTTTAGAAGTCTTTCTTTCAAGAATTCCCACAAAAAAAAAATATTTTCTTTGTTAGGAGCTTTCGTGGTGTGATTTGTATACGAGTAAAAAAATAAAAAATAAAAAAAAGGAGTTAGTTTATTTATTTATTCCTGATTTTCCTAAACTACGTAATGATCTGATTCATGCGGCGACATGATACGTAGACAACCCCCAAAAGTTTCGATCGAAATATTTTTTCAATGACTCTAAAATGAGGCTTCAAAATGAGGTGAGTGAAAAGAAAAGCGAAAAAAAGAGAAAGAGAGAGAGAGAACAAAAAAAAAGAGCGTCAATAAGCAACAACCTAATAAGCTGGAGTAAAACATAAAGCCTTCCAAAAATATGTTAGAGATGGTAATGATTTTAGGAGCATAACATATTTACGTGTGATTCGTATCTATAAAATGCTTAACCCTAACACCTTTGTTGCCTCTTATATAGTAAGCTTAAGGTGGTTGGTTTGTGGTGAAACTGGCAATACATCATTACTTCACCAGATCTAAGGGAAAGGTAGTAATGGCTAACAATGATGAAATCGAGCTGGTTAGTGACGACCCCCAGGGTCAGCCAGTTGAGCAAGAGTCGGAGAAAGTAAAAGATTGAAACAACAACTGTCTGATGTGTATTCTGTGTTGCCTTAGTTGTTAAGTTCTAATTTTATATTTATTATTTGTAGTTTTGTCTATGTTTAAGCTAATTAGTTTAAGGCCTTAACTACATATTTTGTTTGTTTGTAGTCATTAGGTTTTTTTGTTAGTTTAATGGTTCAAGTCAAGTTGAGGAAGGCCAAGCAAATGAGAGAAGTCCAGTTGCCAATAAAGAAACCAGTCATTGAAGAGGAGGCGAAAGAGTTTTGAAAAAGATGAAATTTCAAGATTACTCAATCATTGACCAGCTTAGAAAGACTCATGCCCAAATCTCTTTACTATCTCTACTCATACATTCAAAAGAGCATGTCCGTGTACTAAGCAAGATGCTGAACGAGAGCACATGTCTCAGAGAAGACCACTGTGAACCAGTTAGAGAAGATGGCCAGAAGATATTATGAGGTGAAAAACATCTCCTTCACTGATGATGAACTCCCGGAGGAGAGAGCCAGGCACAATAGGGCTTTGCACCTGATTGTCAAATATGAGGGGCACTATGTAAAGGGAGTCATGGTTGATGGAGGCTAGAGTGTAGATGTATGCCCTCTCTCCACCTTGCAAAGCATGAAGATCAATACAGATTGAATCCGACCTAATAATGTTTGCATCCAGGCTTTTGATGGCTCGACAAGAGATACCATTGGGGAGATCAACCTCACCATGACGATTTGGCCGGTTGATTTTGAAATTGTCTTCCAAGTAGTGGACATGAAAACTTCTTATAACTTTCTTCTTGCCATAGATCCATACGGCCTGACCTGTGCCATCCACCTTGCATCAGATGCTCAAATTCGAACATGACATGCAAGTAATTATTGTTCACGGATAAGATGAGTCATCCATTTATAAAGCCCTGTTAATCCCGTGTATTGAGGCCAATGAAGGATGTGAGTCCATTGTCTATCAGGCTTTCGAAGTGGTTGATGTGGACCATGTTGAGGAAGGAAAGCCCATTATGCATTCTCGTCTCTTTGCCACATCTGTAATGGTGGCTACACTTATGCTAAGACAAGGTTGTAATACAGGAGAAGGCTTGGGGGCATCTTTGCAAGGAATTTCGAAGCCCATTTCTCCATTCGGTAACAAGGGTACTTTTGGCTTAGGCTTCAAGCCAACACAAGCAGACGAAGACAAAGCCAAGCACAGCAAAAATCATGGGTGGGTCTTGCAGCAACCTATCCCTCACAGTTTTTACACTTTTGTCAAGCCACGACTCCAAGAGGGTCAAAATTCATCGGCACAGGAAAACATTGATGAAATTTTCCATGGCCTTAGCCAGATGTTTTCTGAAGTGAGTATGATCCAGGCTGGTAAAGGCACTAGTCGTGCCGATATGCAACTAATTGGCCCAGACACCATGCTCAATAACTGCGAAGCAACTCCTCTCCCCCACAAGGAAGGAGTCTTGGTAGTTTTCTTTTGCAGCTTCTT